AATTTTCTACCAAGATCAATTTTTTAAATTCACGTACAATTAACTAACACAATAACCAAAAATGAGTTAAAAAATAATAATATTGATTAATGAGTAAAGTGTGTTTAGGTACCTTGTTGGAAATGAACGCCTTCGCTTAAGTATTCTTCTGTTTTTTTTATTTTTGCATAAATGTTCAGGAAAATTAAAGACGCTGGGAATAACATCTTTCTTCAATTGTCTTTTACCAAAATGGATTATGAAATCTGATCCTAGAAAATGTTTTCCACAAATACGAGTATTTTCAGTAGGTATAAAATCCTCCCTTTTTGTAGCTATAATCCATTTTTTTCGTAATTCGGGATGTTTAGGGAATCTAACAAAATTTTTATATTATGCGAAATCCTTCGTTTGTATACAACATGTAATTACTACCTGTGAAATGAAATAAAATTGCTTCCGTTTGCACGTTCCGTGCAGTTATATGCACAACACGATTTCACCATACTTAAGAAATAGTTCGATAAAATGCAACCTAAGAACACTACTAATTTGAATAATTGTAACTTGAGTTCACTAAACGTAATTTTGCAAACAAAACACCTTCACACACCATGCGAGAACACGAAAGAAACCTCCCAGAAACACATTGCCGGGCAGTTTCGCGCCAATGTGTTGCCACCCAAAGAAACCCATCTCTGTCCGACTGTGTTGACAACGCGCATCTCTCTCTAAGTTACTTCCATATAATATTATTTCTATGATTTGTGCAGAGTTACACTCACACACCTACACACAAACAAAGGTTGGAATGCGCGCGCACACGTGCAGCGAGACAATGATTCAATAACACTGACTGTAATGTAAATTGTAAACAGTGTTGCCACTTCTACCGAATTTTCGGTAGATCTACCGATTTTGAAACACCAAATCTACCGAAAAGTCTACGATAATTTAAGAAATTTTTATTTTTAATGTGTTTATAAATTTTCAATAATTTTTTTTATTCACAATCGGTATGTAATATGTCATTTGCCAACTTTTTTGAAGTTTGAAAGTGAGCAATTGTTTGTCATCTTTACGAACCTTGTCGGAGGTCGGCAAATTTTTTGCGAACCTCCACGCCAGTGAAGGCTTGATTTCTGTAGTATTATTTGATTTTCAAATAAATTGTTCCTTACATAAAGACCCACTTCTACCCCAGCGTATCGTTGGAAAACAACCTAAATAAAGCTAGAGGTGCCCATAACAAGTCTGAAGACATTTTATTTAGCGTATTTGCCTCAAATAATTTAATAAAAAACTTGACAAATAATAATGTCATTGACATGGAACGCCTGCTGTCCAATTATAAAATGAGTGAAGTGAATTTTTATTTCCATTTATTTTTATTTATAATGATTGTGAATAAAATAGTATACATACACTCGGTCGACGTGTTTCGTTCCGGTCTCACGCCTGCTGTTGACCTCGACGCTACGCGTCTCGGTCGAACAATCTGGCGTTCGATGGTAATGAAACACTTCCCGCCTCGGTATGTAATATACTATTTATAATTTCCTTTCTTATTTTTTTTTTCAGTATAAATTTAGTTTTGCGGATTTGTTTAGCTCCCTCTATTATGCAATAGCGTAATCACTAAATACATTTTTACAGAGAGCTTTAAATATCTACTCTTTTTAAGCGCGTAATAATAATTAAAAGGGGATTTTTTTTAATTAGTTGGACAAAATTCGGTATATTCCCGACACAGTTCAGCACCCGAGGCTATAAATAGGGGGAGCACAGATTTTGGCGTCATTCTGCAATTCGTTCGTTGAACTGTTAAAGAAGTGGTGTTACAATTTTAATAATATATCACAAAAATCCAAAAATGAGTGACAAAGAGTACGATAGTGGTGGTGAAGGTTCTAGTACCGGTGTAACTAAGAAAAAAAAGTACGAACAATCATACAAACACGAATGGGAAGCCTTACCAGAATTCAAAGGGTGGCTAATTAAAAGTAAAAAAGGTCAGCAATTTGCATTTTGTAAACCTTGTGGAAAAGACATTAATATCTCTAGTGGTAAAGACGCTTTATTGAAACACAGTGCTGGAAAATTTCATTTAAAAAAAGTGGAGACAATTTCAAGTAAACAGGTTTCAATGATGAAAACTTTTGCTACATCCGGATCCAGTCAAAAACAATTGGAGACATCAATTAAAGAAGGTACGTTTTTTTGGTATTTTAAAAATTAAAAATTAAATTTAATTATTGATCTATTATTGTTATTATATTTTGTATATTATATTATTGTTATTTGTTAGTAGGGGAAATACGACTCTCAGCGTTCGTAGCAGAGCACAACCTGCCTTTTTTGGTCATGGAACATCTGCCGAAATTAATTAAGAACATTTGTTCCGACTCAAAAATTGCTCAAGGATTGGCATGCAGCAGAACCAAAACAACGGCGATTGTCAAGTACGTAACTGGTAACGAGGGGTTTCACCAGGTTTGTGAAGATTTACGAAATAAAAAATTTTCGTTAATCGTGGACGAATCAACCGATCGAAGTACAATTAAACATTTGTGTTTAGTTGTAAGGTATTTAAAAAATAATGTTATTCAAGATAGTTTTCTTGGTCTTATCAAATTAAGCGATGCTGATGCAGATACTTTATATAATCAATGTTTAACAGGAATAATATTCCGTACAAAAGAAATTTGATAGGGTTTGCTTCAGATGGAGCCAATGTTATGATGGGAAGTCACCATTCTTTAATGACACTGTTAAAAAGTGATTTACCTAATTTATTCATCATGAAATGTATATGCCATAGCTTTCATTTATGCGCGTCATACGCCTGTCACAAATTGCCTAGGTACGTCGAAGATCTTTGCCGTGATATTTACAATTATTTTAGTTCTAGTCCAAAAAGAGTTTGTGAATTCAGCGCATTTCAGGAATTTTGTAATATTAAAATTCACAAAATTCTACATCCAGCACAAACCAGATGGCTTTCAGTACAGTCTGTCGTAATCCGAATTTTGGAACAATACGGCGCTCTGAAACTATATTTTACCGATGCTGTCAGCAATAATGATGTTCTTGCCGCAAACAATATATTACAAAAATTAAATGATCCTGTTTCAAAATTATTTTTAGAATTTTTAGATTTTGTGTTGCCCCTGTTCAATAATTTAAATATACAAATGCAATCTGAATCCCCAAAACTGCATGTTTTATATGATAATGTTTGCCTTGTTTTAAGAACAATTTATGATAACTTCCTTCAAAGAAATTACATAACAACCACGGCAGTTGAAAATATTGATTTCAAAAATCCGAGGCATTATTTATCTATAGAAAATATGTATTTTGGTGCAAAAGTCATTGCTTCGATGACGCAATTGAATCTCACAGACGAACAGAGTCAATTTTTTCGATTACGCTGTTTGGATTTTTATATAGAAGCTTGCAGTCAAATTACTGCTAGGTTTCCTCTTAAAAATAATCCTATTCAAAAACTTTCTTTTTTGAATCCTACGGTTGTTAAAAGTGGGACTATAAATACCATTACAGATGTGGCTTTGTTATTTCCTAATCTTATAAATCATTGCGAACTTCAAAGTCTGGATTCTGAATGGAGATTGTTGAGAAATCATCCAGAAATTCAATCTTTCAGCGAGGATGTGCAAGTCTTTTGGCAAAATGTTAAAACATTAACACTAGGCGATGAAACACTTGTCTTTCCAAAACTGTCTCAATTTGTTGAGAATATTTTGAGTTTACCTCATTCATCGGCCAATGTGGAAAGAATTTTTTCATCAGTAAATTTGTTAAAAACGAAGCAAAGAAATAAACTCAGTTCAGAAACCATCACTGCTTTACTCCACACCAAACAGTTAATCGACAAAAATACCTGCTATAATTTTCCGGTAAAAGACAATTTAACTGCAAAAATGACAAGTAAAGCATTAAAAAACATACAAACCGAAGATGTTGAATAATTTTTTTTACACTTACTTAATCAGTATTTTTTTGATATTTTTATTTTTTATTTTATTTTATTAATTTATTATTATGTATATTTTTTTCAATAACTATGTTAATTTTTTTATTTTTTTTATAGTTTTATTGTGTTTTTATTAATAACAAAATATTTCTTCCTTCATCATAACTATGTATACAATGTATATTTTTCCATTATCTGTGTTAATTTTTTGTTTTCTATTGCTTTGTTATTAAAAATAAAATATATGACAAAAAAAAAACGTATTGCTTATGTCCTTATGTGTAATACCTTTTCTATCACAAAAAGCCGATCTACCGAAAAAATACCGAAATTTACCGAAAATTATCGAAGGAATCTACCGATAGCAAGCAAAGCGGCGTGGCAACACTGATTGTAAACTACTGTAGTATTGACGCTCTTCGAGTGTAGTCGTAGTCAATTGTCAGTGTTCCACCGTAACGAGATTTTAGTGTTTTTTATTTATTCAGTAATTAATGAATCAATTATTATATGCAACATGTTATTTTTATATATTTATTGGATTTTAGGATCAAAATAATTTTTGGTCATGGATAAATGGCTGAACTTAAATAAGAATTGTAATGACGCAGATGATAATGCTACAAACTCTCCTCAGGCAGGACAAAGTATTGAAAAACAGGCATCTAATGTGCGAAAAAGAAAATATGATGAGTCTTCTTCAATTTGGCTTTACATTTCAAAATTGTAAGGGTAATGAACAACCTCTTTGTTTGATCTGCAATGAATTATTGGCTCCGGAGAGTATGAAACCATCAAAATTAAAAAGACATCTTGAATCAAAGCATGTTTCGTATGTCAATAAACCAAAAGAATATTTTGAAAGACTGTATAAATCTTTAAATAAAGAAAAAAATCCTTTGAAAAATTTATGACCGTTAATGAAAAATGTTTATTAGCGTCATATGAAGTTTCTTACTGTATTGCTAAAAATAAAAGGCCGTTCACCATTGGAGAAGATCTTGTATTACCTGCTGCTATTAAAATGGTAGAAATACTACATGGAAGTAAATATGGCGATGATATTCGAAAAATTCCTTTGTCGAACGACACTGTCTCGAAGAGAATTTCTGATATTAACAAGGACCAATTAGTGCAACTTATTACAAGAATTAAAGAAAGCCTAAAATTTTCAATTCAGTTGGACGAAACAACGGATATTACTAAATTGGCTCAGTTGCTAGTATATGTCAGATACGTTTATAAAGAAAGCGTGGAGGAAGAATTGTTATTTTGTCGTCCTTTGAAAGACCACACTACAGGGAAAGATATATATTGTAAAGTTGACGAATTTTTAAAAACTGAAGGTTTAGAATGGAAAAATTGCTGTGGAATGTGTACAGATGGTGCAAGATCGATGACGGGCAAAAATATTGGTTTTAAATCATTTTTTCAAGCTGCTCAATATGATCATATAACTTTTACTCACTGCCTTATTCACCGAGAGGCCCTTGCAGCAAAAAAATTAGCATCGGAATTGAATGATGTGCTTCAGGATGCTGTTAAGATCATAAATTTTATTAAGAGCCATGCCCTTAACAGCCGCTTATTTTCAAATCTCTGTAAGGATACGGATTCCAACTACACAACTTTATTATTACATGCAGAAGTAAGATGGTTGTCAAGAGGTCAAAGTTTAAGAAGATTATTGTTATTAAAGGACGAAATCGAAATATTTTTAACCGAACGAAAATGTGAACTTGCTGCTTTTTTTCAAAATGACTTATGGCTATCCAAACTGTGTTATTTGTCAGATATCTTTGCGAAATTAAACGATCTCAACTTGTCTCTTTAAGGAAAAAATTGCGATATATTTACTTCGAATGATAAAATTGAAAGTTTTATTAAAAAGATCAACATTTGGAAAAGTAGGGTAGAAAAAAATTCCTTCGAAATGTTTTCCAGTGTCGACAGTTTTACAATCGAGAAAAATCATTGCAAAACTTTTATTGCAAAAATTATTGTAGATCACTTAAAAGCGCTAGAAACACAGTTCCGTACATATTTTATATTAGGTAAATATTGATTTCAAAAAGGTGGCTTGGATTCAAAAGCCGTTTTGGATTGGCTTAAGTGAGATTGATCACCTGCCAGTTAAAGCTCAAGAGGAATTTGCTGAGCTTTCGAGTGACTCAAATTTAAAACTACAATTATGGTGTTCTGCCATTCAACACCACGTATTTATGTGAAGTTACTTTCTCAGCTTTAACACATATTAAATCCCAATATCGTTCATCGCTAAAAAATGTTGAAGAGGTGTTACGTCCAGCAGTGTCAAACATTCCACCAAGATTTAATTTGTTATGCAATAAAAAACAGGCACATCCATCTCATTAAATTTTTTCCTTTAATTTTAATTTAATACTTACCACTCATCGATTATTGCAAAAAAATGCAGTTTTGATGAAAAATAGGGCACATAATTTTTGTAACTATAATAAATACAATTTTACAACTTTTTGTGCAATTTTTAATTTTAGCTTTTTGTATGTTTCTAAACGCATTCTAAAACTATATATTTTCATATGTCTATGTATATTGTTACCTAATAAATAAATCATCAAAAAATATTTATTTATCTTTTTTTATATTTACATGGGGTCCCCAGGAAACTCGCAATCATAAACGGGGTCGTGAACGAAAAACGTTTAAGAAGCCCTGGTCTAGATAACAATTCATAAAACTTTAATACTTATTTTTAGGATTATATGATGACGATGTGCATGGGCAACAGTTTTCTACAATTCTTCTGCCTTTTTTTTGTAAAAGTTGTGGAAAACGTCGAATCTGGCTAACTTTTCACAAATTTGACCCAGATGTCTTTCTGTATTTCCATTATTTTCATTATATTCAATAATTAAAAGTTTTTGCGCTCGAACTTCAAAAAAATTTGTCACTTATTCTCTTCGCGATTGTTCGATACACTTTAATTCCCACGGCGTTGCCACATATTTTGATGTCAAGTAAAAGAAATAATTGCAATAATTGAGTTTATGAAAAACGAAGCTGAGAAGGGTGTGCAAATTCCATTAACCCAATTCAAAGCTTGTGTCATCGCAGCCACAGGTATTGGAGAATTTAGTAATAGAAAAATTACAAAAGAGGCCAATGCTGTAAGAGTAGGTGATTCACCATTATTTACATCTCATGTGAAAAAACGATATCGCAACAAACCAAAAAGCGATTTAATTCCCCATTGGAAACTATACGTTCAATTATTCACAATTACTGCATAATGGCGAAAAGACAACTAACTTTGAAAGGTAATTCCTATAAAACTTTTCTATAAACCAGTGATTTAAGTGCTTATTTACTAGGAATATACGAAGTTAGTGCCAAATATTCTCATCCTGATATATTTGCGATTGCTCGTCGGGAAATTTGTACAACTCATAAAAGACTGGAGGGTCCCCATGGTATGTGTGCAAAATTTCAAGCCCCACTGCCCTTTAGTTTTGACACATTTGAGGAGTAAAGTCTGAAAATGATGGACTCATTAGTCATCACACCCGTTTAAAATTGAACATCGGGCGGTAATAAAATTCTTAGCAAAATAAGGAATTGCTCCAAAGAATATTAAGGATAGAATGGTTTTGTGTTTGCTGAAGCTTGTCCTTCATATTCTGCAAAAAAATGATCACAATTGTTTCGTATGGGGCAAAAAGTCCTTGAAGATGAACCAATCTTCAAAAAAAATCATGGCCACAATTTTCTGGGACTGTGAAGGCATGTTGTTGATTGATTTTAAAGAAGGAAATACCACTGTCAACGCTACATATTACGCTTCTTTACTGCATAAATTACGAGAACGTATTCAGGAAAAACGGCCGAGAAAATTAACAAGAGGCGTTCGATTGCACCCGTTCATACCGCATATCTTACTCAAGGTGCTATAGGGGCCTGTGACTTCGAGTAACTTGATCACCCACCCTAGAGTACTGATTAGCTTCGAACGATTCCCAGTAAACACGAAACATTTATGAAACATTACGAAACATCCCAAACGCGTATAATTTGAAACGTTCCAGTGTAACATTTCATAAACAAACGTGCAACCTAAATAGAAACGTTTCAGGCACATTTTTGCTGAAACGTTTCTCAAACGTTCCTCTTGAGACGCATTTAAAACATTCTTCAGAGCGCTTGCGCACTGCAATTTTGACAGAGGAGTATTTTGTTATTGCGCATCGTGCTAGAACGACGGATTCCCGCGAAACGTTCGTGTTTTGTGAAAAAATAAGTACCGTAAAGGTTCTTGAATCGGTATTAGTTTATCGTATTAACGTATAATAACCTACTGTATATTAAAGGTACTATTTTTATTAGTACATCATATGTATATGTGATTTGCGTAGTTGTAGCGTCAACATATATGTCGGAACAACATGTCGCAAGAGGAAAAAGAATTACTTGAAGAAAGGCATGTAAGTAGCTTATTCTCTAATCGAACAAATAAACTTGTGGTCAGTAAACGGCATCTCCGAAGATTAGTACGTAACAATATTTGCAAGCCATACACCCACGGATCCACAAAGAGTACAAGTACTGATTTAAAATTAAGTAGCCAAATTTGCAGTGTAAAACACCAAAATAAATTCAACGTGCAATTGTGTAATCATCTTGATCCCGCAAAAAAAATTCCATCGGCAAATTGTTACAGTATTGCTGTTGCCTCATCCGTTGATGACACGTATTGTGAACGTCGGCGATTTTCGCCGCCGCAGAAATCAACACAAGAAATAAATAGCTTCACATCTGACTTTACTCTTAATAATGAATTGCCATTTCTTGACACTCATGAAAATCCAGCTCATGAACGCCCGAATAATACTTTCGTGAATGATATTCGTAATTGGATACTTCAATACCGAACATTGCTCTCTCAACAAGCTATTAATGATTTGCTGCAAATTTTAAGACAAGGTGGTTACAATTTACCCAAAAACGCTAGAACTCTATTGCAAACGCCCAGATCATGTAATATTATTGATGTACTTGAAGGACATTATTATCACTTCGGGGTTGCGCGTGGAATTTTAAATAATAATTTAACTGATGTCCAGACAGTAAAAGAGAACGATATTTTAAAACTCAGTTTAAACATAGATGGGTTGCCACTGACTAAAAGCTCTACTAGTCAATTTTGGCCCATATTATTATCAATAGAGTCAAGATTATCGCCTCCATTTATTTGTGGAATATATCACGGTATGAAAAAACCAAGCGATGTTAGTCAGTTCTTAAATGAATTTGTCCAAGAATTCAAATTTTTAGAGCTAAATGGTTTAGAGGTTGGCAAAACAAAAATTTTTCCTAGGATTTCTAAGATTATCTGCGATGCTCCTGCCAAGGCATTCATTTTAGGTGTCAAGGGTCACACAGGCTACCATGGTCGTACGAAATGTATTGATCAAGGCGAGTACATAAATGGCAGAGTAACTTTTCAGAGTTTGGTTTCTCCGTTGCGCACAGATGATTCCTTCAAAAACAAAGAAGATGATGATTTTCATTTGTATAATAGTCCACTTGAAAATTTAAACGTAGGGCTTGTTAGTAACGTATGTTTGGACTACATGCATCTTGTGTGCTTAGGTGTGATGAAACGGTTAGTACTTTTTTGGGTGAAAGGTAAAAAAGATGTTAGAATTCCTGACTCGAAAATGGCCATTTTATCTAAAAACATCTTGAAGCTTAAAAAAGTTATACCTATAGAATTTGCAAGAACTCCTAGAAGTCTTCTTGAAGTCGATCGTTTTAAAGCAACAGAATTTAGACAACTGTTGCTGTATACAGGACCAATAATATTAAAGGATGTTTTACCCCGAGACAAATTTTTACATTTCATGTCGTTACACACGGCTATTCGTTTTCTGTGTTCACCTGAATTGTATCTTAAATATAACAACTCAGCTTGTGATTTATTACGTTATTTTGTAAAAAAATTTGGTGCATTATATGGGAAGGAATTTGTTTCTTATAATGTACACAATTTAATACATTTGCCAAATGACTGCTTGCTTCATGGTAATTTGGATGAATTTAGCGCTTTCAAATATGAGAATTATTTATACAATATTAAAAAAATGGTCAAAACTTCACGTCGACCATTACAACAAATTGTTTGCAGGCTGACCGAAAGACTACAATTAAATGAGAAGACTGGTGTCAGTTATCCCCAACTAGAATATGAAGTAGAAAATCAACTGAATGAAAATATTACATGCTTTAAGAAATTAAAATTGAAAAATTTTCAAATTATAATAAATGACAAAGATAACTTTGTCCTTTTAAGTGATAACAGTATATTTTGTGTCAAGTATATTGCTAAAAATTTCAACAATAACATTTTTCTTTATGGCAAAAAATTATATCCGCTATCATCATTGTACACTGAACCTTGCAATTCTCAAGAATTTTTTAATATAGTAACAACACAAAACCATTTATCTCAAGATTTGTGTAAGATACAGTGTGACGATATTAAACAAAAATGCCTGAAGTATATCATCAATGAAGAAACGTTGGTTTTTATACCACTATTGCATAACGAGAAACAATAAATCACGTTCATCAGGTTCGTACTTGTTAATCTAATTATCTTTTAATTATAAATTTATTTTGTATAAGACGAAACTGGTGTGTATGCAGTAAAAAATTATGAACTAAAATTTGTACTGGTGTCACGAAAAACTAGGGCAGCTATTTATAACATACTGTTGTAATATTTTAGAAAATTTTAAGCAGCATCACTAAGGTTGTAAAGTCTTTGTGATTTTACGGTTAACCATATATGCTTTTGCTGTTATTTATTAAGTATTTGTAAAAAGTATATTGGCCGAAGTTTATTTAAGGCATAAATAAAATTAATTACATTTTTAATACCAGCTAAAATTTCATAATGCTGATGAAAGAAATAGTTTTTACGCTAACAATTCCTACTTACAGTAGTCTTATCATTATAATTATCGTTTTAGTCTTCGTTTCTTTTTATTTGATTTGCTACTTAGATCAGCCCAGAAGTAAAACTACGATTGTGGGATATTTACTTACAACTAATAATATTTAAACATCATTCGTACAGCAATTGGTGTTTCATCAGAAATGGAAATAATCATTATAGCACTAAAATAGTGCTTGTTCTCTCTCGTTAATTTGTCGTTCCAGTGGACTGTTGTTGAATTCACCAAGGACGACGATTATCGGGAAATATCCTGCATTCCCAACAATTGGGTCTTCAGCAAAAACGACGAAGTATTTTCGTTTTGGCCGAAGAGGAATATACGAAAACATATCAAAAATGCAACTCCCCCAGAAAAAACAATGGGACGTTTGGCCGGCAAGGGTAATGCTTAAAAATAGCGGTATGCATATTTTTTCGCGTTGTTACGTACTGTTTTTAACATTTTAATTATAGTATCATATAAGGAAGCTATTTCCTTTGAGAAAAAAAATGAAAAGGTAACTGAGTCAGAGGGAGAAGAAGTTCGTTCCAAGAAACGCAAACGAAAGGCAATTTGTCTTAAGGATTTTATAACTGATGTACTAGAAGAAGAGGAAGATGATCAAATTCCACCTCCGCCAAAAATTATTAAAGGTAAAATAGTACATAAAGTTTAAGTATGTCGCTTTAATTTTTATATTGTGTGGAAAAAACCGTTTGTGTTTCAGCACCACCTTCGCCAGCTACGACAGTGCCTTCACGATCCCTAAATGATATTTGTATGTTAAAAACGAAGTGTGTTGTGTAATTTTTTATGTTTCATGATTTTAGTATCTGCCAAATCCTATGGTGACA